AATTCTATCATCTACATTTTGTTTATTAACACTACCATTATCGAATGTCTCTATCGAAGATAAACTAAACACTATCTTCAATACGTTTATCAAATCTATGCAGGAGCCGCGAAAGCGGGGGGGTGTCGGGGGGTGTAAACCCCCCCAATAAATGGAATTTCGTCATTTTTTACTTTGAAAAAATATACAACTGTATTCATTGATTTTATCGTCTGATATATCTGTAGAGGAAATGGAAAAAAGACCGACAGATATCTGTAATTCAATTACATGTTTACAATGATTATAACTTACAATTTGTAAGTTATGATCAATCGAATTACATCAAAGACGAACAGTAAACTTTGATCAATTTTCAGAACAACAGGCATACACTTCTCTTTTTTTTCTTTCTCAGTTGATAAATCAGAAGGTAGTAAAGCAAATTCTTAGTCAGTCTTATATCGATATTGGATAAAAATGTCAAATAAAAGGGAAAAAAGAACTTATCCAGAAAACAATTTCTTACATAACTGGTTAAAAAGAAGCAAAGAGTCATCAGATCAGGGTACGAGTGCAAATGAAATCATCAATGGTAATGATATACAATACCAATCATTAAATGAATCACAACAAATGATCTCAGCAGTTACATGTTTAACCACAAACATTACAAGTGTGGTTCCATTACTCAGTGAACCTGAAAGTAATTCATTTTTCTGGAACATCAAAAAAGTATTTTATTCACTGAATATTTCTTTTCTATAGCATCACAGGAATTGTCAATGCTTGAATCAACATGTGATGTGCCAGCAACTGACTCAATCGATTTAAATAAAACTTCTTCCATAACTATAACTAATATTGTTACTGAATTACGTGAACTTCAATCATTATTTTCATCTTGCGAACAGTTAATCAAACAAACCCAAGCACCAGACTTTTCAGAAGAAATATTCACTATTCATTTCAAGTTATTATGCACATCGTTGAAAACTATGACAACAAAAATTGAACAACTTTGTGAACAACAAACGGCGAAGATCGAAAACAATCGTGGTATCATAACAGCTAAAGATCAATCTAAATTTGTTAGTCGTGATCCAGCGGATAACAGAAAATATGATGATGATGAATTACGATATTTGGTATCATGTGGTCCTTATCGTGATTTAAACTTGTCATATCCTCAAAACCCTGAATTAAAAAGGAAGAACAAACAATGCTCTTTTACATCTAATTGGTACAATGATTTTCCTTACTTGGAATACAGCATAAAAAAAGACGCTACTTTTTGTTTTTGTTGCCGCTTATTTGGAGTCGGACCTGTTGGTGAAAAATCTCAAGCAACATGGTCGTCAACAGGTGTTTCTTCGTGGTCCAAAATGACAGGTAAAAAAGCAATAGGACAGCGAAAAATGCACCAGTAATTAAGTTTTCATTCTCATTTTAGGTCGCGAAGGGAAATTAGTGAGACATTTCAAGTCTATTTCACACATAAATGCTGAAAGTCGATTATTAAATTTTTCTCAAAAGAAAACAAACATTGATTTAATGTTGGATGCTGGTCGAAGAGCAGCTGATCAAAAAAGAGAAGAAGTTTTAAAATTAAATGAAAAAGTTGTTCTAACTTTACTTGATATTGCTCGATTTCTTAGTAGACAATCATTGGGATTTCAAGGTAATGTAGAATCTGAAGGTATGATATGATGAGAAATAGTAATTTCTGAAAAAGATTCTATGTTTCAAAAAAACTTACACCGTTCTAGGAAACTTTGTTGCAGCTGTTAATATGATGCGTCGTCGTGATCCAGTACTTGATAAATGGTTTGAAGACTCTAGTTTGCGACCATATCACGTAATGATAACTTTATGTGATAATTTCTTTAACGTTTTTTCGAATACTTTGATTTTAGAGTAATTATCTTCATCATGATTCACAGAATGAGTTTATAGAATTATTGGGAATGGCTGTACACAAATCGATTTTAAAAGATATTGATGATGTCCCATTTATTTCAATTACTACTGATTCAACTATGGATGCTTCGCATAAAGAAATTTACACAATTATCGTTCGATATGTGAAGAATTTTGATGTTCAAGAACGAATAATATCTGTATCAGAGTTAAAGTCAAAGGTAGGCTTAGATATTTGTGAACACATTTTAGAACAACTGAAAAAATGTGGCATTTCAACTGACAAAATCATAGCCCAATCTTATGACAATGCGTCGAATATGTCTGGAAAAAATTTAGGAGTTCAGGCATGCCTGAGTAAGTATTTAAACAGACCAATATTGTATATACCTTGTAGTGTTCATTCGTCAAATTTGGTTGTACAACATGGAAGTCTTATTGATATTGCTTATGTTAATTGTTTTGGTATCTTACAGGAACTGTTTAATTTCTTCACAGGTAGTATTAAACGATTTTCTGTGCTTTGTGAACAATTAAGTACAACAAGCTACGGTACGCATTTTTCGGTCATCGACATATTTTAAATTCTTATTCTACATTAAGGTCTACTGGTGAAAGATTTATCTAAAACTCGTTGGTCTGATCGATATGATGCCATTCGAGCTGTTTTTGTGTCTTATAAAGAAATTATAAATACTCTTCAAAACCTATCTGAGGATAATATTGAAAAGAAAACTCAACAAATAGCTAAAAACCTCCTAAATAAATTACACTCCTTTACGTTTTATACAGTGTTACTGTTTTTGAAGAATTTATTTGGATCTATCAATGCTTTAATCATTCATTTGCAAAAGTTCGAAATGGATATTTTAAGTACGATCGATATTGTTGAAGATACAATTCGTCTTCTACATGAAATGCATGACGATTATACGAATCTTAATGCCATTGTTGAAGTACTTAATTTCCCTTTGCTTTTCACAAACTTTAAACAATTTTACTTTGTTAGGTATCGAGAAATGATCTTAAAAAATATAATGTTAATGTTGATTTGAACTGCGAATTTCAACGACTTCAGCGTCGTAATAAAGGTTTAAAATCAATGTAAGTAACACAATAATATTTTATAACTTGGTTTCTAATATTTGTTCGTTTAACAGACATGACTACTATCGAATAATTTTTCAAAAAATGATCATGAGTATGAAAGAGGAATTTAAAGATTATTTATCAGTGTTAACTACGCATCTCAAGTATTTTAGTCATTTATCAGTGAAAAAAATTAATTTATTTTCCAAGGAAGATGCAGAGAAGATATGCACAATTGTTCCTGGTATTGACAATCATGAATTACTGTTTTATGAGATTCAGCTGTTGAAGTCCAAAATTCGTGAATCCAACAGTATTACAAATGTATTAAATGCAGTTCAAGCAACTGGCACGTATTCACGAGCTCAAAGAGTATATCAATATTTATTAACTATACCAATCTCGATAGCTTCAAACGAACGATCATTTAGCAAATTGAAAATTATCAAAAACTATCTTCGTACAACTATGACTGACGAACGGCTGTTTTACTTAATGCTATGTGCTATCGAAAAGGACCATCTCGATAAAATCAATCTGAACGATTTAGCAAAGGATTGGGCGAAAATGAAGGATAGACGTATCCAACTTCCATAGAATGTGTGTTCTAATAAAAATTTGCTTTTTTATGTTCATTTTGCTAATGTGTGAAATAAACTAATAATCATGCGTTTTTTTATTATCATGAGTTTGCTCGAAAAAGAAAGTATTTAAGTTAATAACATGACTGTGATTTTGCATTAAAAAATTTTCGCTTCGCATACGTCTTTCAAAAATTTTTAACACTTTACACCCCCCCAATCCTGGACTCTTCGCGCGGCCCCTGAATCTATGTCAACGTCTAATTAGAATAATACCTTCAGAACAATTCATAGAAATTTCCTTTAAGTTCCCGTTCAACGTTATATCTCAAAGAAATGTTTGG